TTGGGTTTAGGTCCCTTCATGATGTAGCAACAGCCCTCTTTTGCAAGCTATGGTAGAATTATGAGAACCAAGCCCAGCCTTTGGAGTTCCTTTATGAGTCAGAGAAGTATTGTAAAAAGCTAAATTCAGTGATAGTACATGTGAGGAATATGTGGAGAGAATAAGGGATCTATTTGTGTTGGCAAAGAAAATGTAGAGTGTAGAGATTTGATAGAACATGCAAGATAGTATGGCAACCAAGAATGGGTTTCCTCTTTGTTTTGGTATGATAACTGGACAGGTTTAGGGGCACTATAACTTCTTGGTTCCTCAGGAGTTTGGTATTGATGAATCTGTACACAATGTTTGGGATGTGGTAGAAGGAGATGTATGGAATGCTGAAAGATTGTATGAGGTTTTACCAGAGGAATATGCAGAACACATACTTCAAAATATTAAGCCACCTACAGTACATGGAGTACTTGATGTATCTAATTGGATGTTACAACCTAAAAGGGCTATTTCACTGTAAAAACAGCTTGGGACTATTTAAGAAGGAAGAGCTGAGCCTATGACAGCATACAAGAGATGATAGGTAAGGGGTTGCCCATTTAAAATTGCTTTTTTTTGTGGAAAGGTGTGGAGATATAAGTTGCCATTGGAATGACTTTTTCAGAAGTTTGGGATATTTAATGGCATCTAAATGTTGGTGTTGTGGCAGACCAAGTGAGGAAAATACTACTCAAGCATCTGTTCTTCTCTTCATATGCAAGCAAACAAAGTATGGAGATAATTTTCCTTGGTCATGCAGGTATTGCTGCAGAAGGACTCACATTGCATCAAGCATTGTCAAATGCTGGACTGCAAGATGTTATTCCAAGATTGAAACCAATTATGGCAGGCATTACCATCTATTATAAGTCTGGGGATTATGGAAAGGAGAAATAAGTTAATAAGTAATGGGGGAAAGTAGTCACCATCAATAGAGTTGTATATCAGTAGTATCCACTTTTACACTCAAGTCCCCCCTTATTCCTGTAGGCATACATAAGGTATTCCAAGATGCCCAATGTCTGTTGCTGCCTGTAACTAAACTACTCCAAAAAAAATTGGGCAAATATCTTATGTAGTCGATTGATCACATAAGCTGGGGGATTGACAGCTGATAATAAGTGAATTGGCATGCTCTGCAGTACATGAGCAATGAGTACTGCTCTACCCCCTATGGACAACATTTTACCTTTCCATGATTGTAGTCTATCCAACACCTTGGTGATCATAGGCTGGTAGTATTCCATCTTCCTCCTTGAGTAGAATATAGGACACCCCAAATATATAATTGGAAACTCTTGTCTCTTTATTCATGTAACCTGCTCCACTTTATCTGCTACTTCTGCATCTGTTAAATGGTGTAAATATACAGCTAACTTTGCCTTGTTTACCAACTGCCCTGAAGTTGATTCATATGCATCAAGAACCTCCATGATGAACCTAAGGGATGTAGCATCAGATGATGAAAAAATAATAGTATCATCTGCATAAGCAAGATGATTAATCTTTGGGCTCCATTTAGGCATACCATACCCACAAAAGTATAAGTTTAGATGCAGTGCATTAAGGCCCCTTGACAATGCTTCTGCAGCTAAAATAAACAAGGTAGGAGACAATGGATCCCCCTGCTTCACTCCCCTTGAAGATTTGAAGAAACCATGAGCTTGACCATTTATTAAGACTGAGTACCAATTATTTGAGACTATGCCAAACACCATGCCTATAAATCTTTCTGAAAATCCCATTTTTCTTAAAACCTTAGTCAGGAATAGCCAGGACAATCTGTCATATGCCTTGGTCATATCTAACTTCATGATGACATTAGGACCTGCCTTTGTCCTTAGTCTCATGTCTATGACAATCTCTTGTGTTAGGAGAATATTTTCCACAATGCTTCTTCCTTTAACAAAACCAGACTGTTCTTCAGATATTAAATTAGGTAGCAGTCCCACCACCCTCTCATGAATCACTCTTGAGATCACCTTGTTGGAGAAATTACTGAGACTGATGGGTCTCAAATCAGAGAATGTACATACCACTTTCTTCTTTGGAAGCAACACAAGGTTTGTGTGAGTCACACATTTTGGTAGATCATGCCCATTAAAGAATGCTCTAACCATATCAAAAAGATCCCCTCCTATAATATCCCAACAGGACTGATAGAACTTGTCTGTAAATCCATCTGGCCCTCCAGCACTATCTCCATTTAATCAAAATACTGCAGCTTTTACCTCTTCCAAGGTTGGCTATTTTGTTAACTCCTGGTTTTGATTCATATCTACCAAAGAAGGAACATGATTTATTATATCAGAAGTTGTTGGTACTGCAGTTTCAGAGAATTGATCTTGAAAGAATTGAATTCCCTCTGCAGCTATTTCTGCTTCATCATCTATCCAAACACCTTGACTGTTTTGAATTCTGGATAATTGCAACTTCTTTCTTCTACCTCTTACTTGAGCATGGAAGAACTTAGTGTTCCTGTCACCATCTTTAAACCATGACATGCCAGCCTTCTGTTTCCAATATTTTTCTTCCAAGGCTAGAAATCTAGTAAGTTCTGCTTGGACCTTTTGTAACCTCTGCCTGTTTAACCTTGTAGGATTGGCTTCAAATTCTGCTTCATGAACAATAACCACCTCCTCCATGCTTGCTATCTTTTGAAAAATGTCTCCATATGTTTTTTTACTCCACACAGATAATGCCTTTTTTAACTTCTTCAACTTGTGATTAAAGATGGTATATGGACTTGCACAGAAATCTACATTCCAGTTTTCCTGCACCACCTCCTTAAATGCTGCATGCTCCACCCAAAAATTTAAAAATCTGAAAGGTTTCTGCACAGGAGGGTTCTCTATATCACACTTTAACTGCAGTGGACTGTGATCTGATCCAATCTTAGGAAGATGTTACACTTCTAACCCTGGGAAAGTTTGCTGAAACTCTGAGTTAGCTAAACATCTGTCTAATCTCTTGAAAATACAGTCTTCTTCTGCCCTACCATTCCACCATGTAAATATACTGCCCTTAAATCCAAGATCACTCAGGTTACAGGTATTTATGCAATGTCTGAAGTCATCAACTTCATTTATATGAACTGGAAGTCCCCCAAATTTCTCCTCCTCATCCCATATGACATTGAAGTCACCTCCAACTAACCATGGTACTGTCATGTCATTTGCCATATAGTACAATGAATCCCACAGTTCAATCCTTTCTATGGCATCACATTTAGCATACACCAGTGTAAGGACCATTTCTACATGAGTTTCTGTATGAAACAGCCTTAAAGTTAATTGCTGAACCATGTTGTACATTATTGTAACTTCATATACCTCATCAATGAAAGCCCATATCTTGTTTGATACATTAGCAAATGCCTGTGCAAAGCCTATTCTACTTCTATACCTTTCCAGTGTTCTCACTTGTTGCATGGGTTCCATCAAACCAATAAAATCATAGTGATTCTTCCTATGCATTTTGATCAGCATTTCAAAAGCTTGCTGAGTATTGACTGACCTTATATTCCAAATTAGAGCATCCATTATTGAACAAGTGATTTAGATAAGGTCCTCCTTGTTTGAACACCACCTGTAGGTGCAACTGTATCTTTTTGCTGCTTCTTTTTGTTCTTTGCTGCAGATTTAACTTTTTCAAGAACTCTAGGAGATAGATCACCCTGCCTACCTATATTCTGAAAATTTTGTGCTGTTGATTCTTCATCCATATCATGCCCTGTTCTGAAACCTCCTCCTTGTGTATCATCCATTTGTTGCTCATTTACATTATCTATAGTTGTTTGTTGCTGAAGATTAGGCATCAAAGAATGCTCTTCTCCCTTCTTTAAAATCTTTATCTGCACTTATTCCAATGGAACAGTGATTTCGGCTGCCTCTAATGGCTGTTTGAATTGCAACTTTTCCTTACCCTCTATGGTATTATTCTGCTGATCCTCACAAGTTAAAAGTTGTCCTGCATCAATCCCCGTTTCTCCTGGATCCACTGTATCACTCCCTCTTCCTTCTCCTGCATTTCCAGGAGTAGGTATTTGTTCCTTCATGCCCTTTTTATCTTCTTTTTCAGTTGCCCCATTTTTCTCCTTTGTTGCTGTGATATCATCTTTGCTGATAGTATTAGTAATGGACTTATCATTTATGCTTTGTTCTTCTTCCTCTTTGTCTTCATGCATTGGTTCCTCATCATGTTGTGCACCTACTGGAACTTCATCTTCATCTGAGTCAATCTCTCTTTGTTCTGACCATAATTTACCCCCACTCCATTGAACTTTTTCAGTCACCTTTGGATTTAACTTCTCATTTGTTTGGATTTCTGGCTTGTTGGTCAGATCCCTATCTACCAAGGTATCCTGTGAGGGGATGTCTTGACAAGATGTATTAATTCCTACAAAGTTATCCACTTCATTGCCCTGAAAAGCTCTTTGTACCCATTGAGCTGTGGATTCCTTGTTACCAGATTTTCCACTCTCTCTCATGTTTGCTACACATCCTCCATTAGTTGATCCAATACCAGCTGAATTCATGTTAAACTCTGGAGCTGCTGAATTCAGTGCTCCTGATGTATTACCTTTATGTTGTAACTGTTGTTGCACTGTGTCTTGTTTCCCTGTAGCTGGACTTTTAAAACTTGATTGAGTTGCTGCTACTGCAATATGATTATCTTTATCAACCTGCTTTTTTCCTGCATACTTATTGGCCTTAGCTTGCTTTCCTCTCTTTGCAGGAGAGGATAGATCTACTTGACTAATTTCCTGTACCTCCTCAATGATTGCCAATTCTTTACCCTGCACATCCCCTGATTCTACTTCTTCCAATGCTGCAAATTTATTTGATGTCTGCACCTGGTTACTACTGGGAACTATTGGCTTCTTCTGTTGTACTGGCACAATTTCTTGGCCAATTTTAGCCACTCCCTCGATCAAATTCTCCTTTGCTTTTCCTCTACTGTCCCTTACCTCTTTCCATTGAGCACTTGAATTGCCAACCACCTTTCCACTTGATAAGATCATCAAAGGAGCTGCACCTTTACCTTGCTGATTATTAGCTCCCTTTTCCACTGTTGTATTGACCTGTTGTTCTACTGTATTACTTGCCATCAGTTCAGGATGTATCCTCCAGCATTCCAACATGTCATGTCCTTGCAACTTGCACTCCTTGCAATACTTAGGAAGGTAGTCATACTTTATGGTCACCTATTTAGTTCTTACCTCTCCTGATGCCTCATTCACTATGTCCATTCTAACCTTCTTAGGGAGGTCAGCTAATAAATCAACCAACACTTTCACACGAGCACAACTAGGTCTTGTTTTGTTCACAGTAGCCAAATCAAGATGAAGAGGCTTACCTACTGCAGAAGCTAAAGAGAACAGGCACTCTTTCACAAAATATGTTGGCAATAGATTAGGGAATGATATCCAAGCCATTACTTTAGGTGTCTCCTCTCCAACTTTAAATTTTGCATCATATATAAGAGTTTTCAGCTGATATTCATCACCATGTTTATCCTTTACATAATAAACACCTTTTGACGAAAAATCAACAAAGTCTTTCCATAATGTCAATCTAACCAATATGTGCCTATCTCGTAAATAGTCAATATTACATTCACCTTTAATACCACATTGCATGGGAACGATGCGACATAGTTCATTGAGATCTGGCCATCCATATGAAAACTTGCATACAACTGCGTATTGTAACCCCTCGATCACATTCATACGATCAACTAGGTGTAGGTTTTAGGTGTATTTTTTGTGTATTTCTCAATTAGTTCCTAGGTCTTTTGTGTTAAGTCCTTAGGATTTTTAAGAAAGGTTTTTCTAGGTTAAAGTAATATGGGTTTGGTCTTATGGGCTTGGTCCAAAAATTAGGCCTAAAAATGGGTTGCTCAAGCCGAAGTTTTATTCTTTCTCCGCGAACGAGCCGAAAAAATATGATCTCATTTATTAATTAATCATACTTAAGTAAAATATTAAAATAAGACTGGCCGTTCAAACAAAACTATTTTTGGTATTTTTCAAGATTTAAAATGACTACAAAACATTAATGAACCTATTTTTTTTGTAATTTTTGTTTTCTTGTAATAAAATAAAAGTAAAAGAGTAAAAGTTAGTTGAAATAGCTATATTAGGCCTAAATTAAATATTTATGTGCTAAAATATGAAAAATCTTGGGGAGGGTCAAAAATCACATGTCTACAGCTGCCCCTCTTTGACTGGAATCGCGAAGAGTTTTCAGACAAAGAACGACTGGACAGATTTTTTGACCTGACCCTTATTTGGGAGAGACAAAAACTGAGAAAAGGGGAATGTGACCGAGCCCTAGTATCTGAGCTGCCTACATATCCTTGGCTATAAAGGAATCAGTCCACGTGTAGTTCAGAGGTGAGTGAGATGATGGAGTATGCCGAGGTGGAGAGCCAGTCGAGGTGCCGTTCCGCTGAGGTTCCGATCCGCGGTCCTGCTATTACATCAAAATCAAAAGAAATGCAAAAGACTAGCTAAGCCTGTCAACTACGAATTACAAGATTCCTATCTATAAATCTCTTGAAGCTTGATCTTGAGTCTTAGCTGCCTTGTTGACTTGTATTCTCCTGGTGAAATTCCTTTGTGGTCGACTTGAATTATAATCTGAGATGTTTTCCCTTTCTCCAGGGGGACGCATGATTGCTGAGCTTGAACTACATTCTGAGACGCTTTACTTTTCTCCAGGTGGATGCCTGATTGCTGGACTTGAACTGTATTTTGAGATGTTTTTCCTTTTCTCCAGGTGGACGCCTGATTGCTGAACTTGAACTGTATTTTGAGATGCTTTCCCTTTCTCCAGGTGGGCGCCTGACTGCTGAACTTGAACTGTATTCCCGTGCTCTCCAGGTGGGCTCCTGACTACTGAACTTGAATTGTATTCCCATGCTCTCCAGGTGGGCTCCTGACTGCTGAACTTGGATTGTATTCCCATGCTCTCCAGGTGGGCTCCTGATTGTTAGACTCGAAATGTATTCCCATGCTCTCCAGGCGGGCTCCTGACTGCTAAACTTGAAATGTATTCCCATGCTTTCCAGGCGGGCTCCTGACTGCTAAACTTGAAATGTATTCCCTGCTCTCCAGGCGGACTCCTGACTGCTAAACTTGAATGTATTCCCATGCTTTCCAGGCGGGCTCCTGACTGCTAAACTTGAATGTATT